AAAAGAGGTTTGCTTTTGTTCCCACTGTTTCTTTCTGTTCTGTTCTCCTTGGTTGAGTTATATGTTGTTGCAGAAAATTGGTTACATTCTATGATTCAAAATTTCAATCTTTTGCCTCTATTATGACCATTGATGTTGGTGTCAATTAGAAATATTTGTTCTTTAACCAAATTTTAGCCAAGAAAAAAAGATTTGTTCTTGAAGAGACCCACATGATATGTCTTTAGGGATAGTGTCTTTAGCTTCTTCTTTCTTTCTGTCTTCTCTTTCCATCAAAGTTTTCTTTTCATCAAAGTTTGTTTAATGAATCTTTTTTTACAAGGCAATAGTACATTCCAAGCTCAAAAGTCTTCATTTTTAATAGAAAAAGAACAAAAATCTAAATGCTCAAAGATTGCATCCTTTGGTTTAGCTGGTTCATTGAGTTATCTGAAACGAACAACCGCTTAACTTGTCAAAACCTTTCAGTGTGAAAATTTTGACCATGTGATACGTTTTTGCTGTCTATATTTAGATCTGTCCTTATTAGATGTTCACAGGTGTCTTGTCTTGCCATTTCATCTTGTACTGAGAAAATTCCATTATCAATAATACTCCATCATTTGATTAGTGTCTTGAGCTTAAGAGACAATCACATTGGTCTTTTCTTCAAATTGTGATCTTATCTCATTAATTATATCTGGTTCTGAGCAGGAATTTTGTCATTTGAGTCTTTTGTACTTGAGAGAAGAATCTGAAGTACATTTACTGGAGAAGATCATCATTTTGCTTTAATGGTAATAACTGCCAAACTCCAGAGACTTAGGATGTATGACTCTCAAGTTTTGAAATCTAATTCAGAGGTATGAACGTACATTAAGTCTAGATTGTACCTGTTGAAGGAATCTATGCAGTTCTTAAACAACAATAAGAGCTTGCTTGCTTAATTGTGTACAGGGCATAGAGAGATGCCAAGAGTCTACAAGTGGTGAATCTTTTCTGTATAGATACCAACTTGAAGAAGATGTGAGCTTATGAACTAAAGAAGGGTCTGCATTTTCTAAATAAATTACACTGTTTACCAATTCTGAAAGAAGTTTAAATGTTCCAGGTAAAAAGATTGCAACTGCAACTCCAAGAAGAAATAGAGCTGCATACTTTCTTAGAGAGCGTCATGGAGAAGGATCCTTGGGAGCTATCTTCTTCTTCTTGTAGTGTTCCACATCATGTATGGTCCCCCCTCAACTCATGCTATTTGTTTTCTGAATTAACGTTTTGTTTAAATGATGATTCTGAAAAATTGGGCAGGCTCAAGAACTTGTTTCTGATATAGCCACGCTAGAGACTGCAGTCACGAAGCTAGAGCAAGAAATGATGTCACTGAACTTCCAACTTAGCCAAGAACGAAACGAGAGAAGACTAGCTGAATATAATTTGGCTCACTCAGCTACTCCACCAGTATGTATCTCCTTTCTAAAAACTCATCATTGTCTTGCTTTTGTTGTGTAACTATGTCTTAGTTATGCAGACGTCTTCTTCTTCCTTGAGACATCAATCAGCAGAAGCTAGTCCATGTCAAGACCAAACAGTTCAAAACCAAGACTCTTCAACTGAATCATCTCAGACACAATCATCAAGTGTTGAGGTATAAACTTATATTCTCTTTCCTATAACTTTTAAGGATAGCAAAGAACAAATGTATCTGACATTTCATCACACTAAACCAGAAAACATTGGACCCAAGTAATCAGTTTCTTGAGAAGAAGCTAATGAGAAAGACAAATGGGAGGAAGCTACCTAAGTTCCTATGGGATCATCCTAATCTACTGTCTGAAGAAATGGTGAGATGTATGAAAAACATCTTCATGTCTCTTGCTGATCTGACAAAATCTTCAAAAGCATCATCAAACGAGAGCCAACTCTCACCGGTGGCATCACCAAGGGGGCATCTATCAAGCTCATCATCCTGGTGGCCTTCAACAGAACGGTCAAAGATCTCTTCATGGGTGCACAGCCCTCAGATAGATATCCAAAGTAACAATGATGTCTTGGCCACAGGAAACGTCTTTGATCCTTACAAAGTTCGTGGGAAGTTAAGCTGGGCGGAGATTGGTAACTACAGTTTGGCGTCCGAGGTTTCTTGGATGTCTGTTGGGAAGAAGCAGCTGGAATATGCTTCTGGTGCATTGAGGAGGTTCAGGTAATAGAGTTCCTTAAGGCTTTTCTCAATCTTATTAAACTAAGAGACTCAAAAAATGTGATTATGTGAATAGGACACTGGTGGAGCAACTTGCTAGAGTAAACCCAATTCATTTGAACTGTAATGAGAAGCTAGCTTTCTGGATTAACGTCTATAACGCGTTGATCATGCATGTTAGTTCCTTTTTTTGCCTTCTACTTGTCAAAAACCTTTTCTGAAATGCTTATGAGAATTGTCTTCTTTTTATATGTAGGCGTATTTGGCTTATGGTGTCCCAAAAAGTGACATGAAGCTCTTCTCGTTGATGCAAAAGGTTACATATCACTTGAAAAAACCCTTGTTTTGTTCTTCTCATCTTCTTTGTTGTCTTATCTTGTTTCTTTATGTCTGCTCCACAGGCTACCTATACGGTTGGAGGACACTCATATACTGCAGCTACAATGGAGTATGTGATACTGAAGATGAAACCGCCTACGCACAGACCACAAATTGTATGTAATCTTTTACCTTCGGTGTTCTTTTGTTTGCGTTTTTACAGAATCAGTTAACATTTGATCTCTTTTCTTTATGTGTAGGCTCTGCTTCTTGCCATCAACAAGCTGAAAGTATCAGAAGAACAACGCAAGGCAAGCATTGATAAACATGAGCCTCTTCTCTCCTTTGCCTTAAGCTGTGGAATGTACTCTTCCCCTGCGGTAAACTAACTAACTAACTTCTCCTTTTGTTTTACACAAAGTGTGGAATGTAACTTTTGTATCTTGTTGCAGGTGAGGATATACACAGCGAAAGGAGTGAAGGAAGAGCTACTAGAAGCTCAAAGGGAGTTCATACAAGCATCAGTAGGGATAAGCAGCAAAGGGAAGCTATTGGTACCCAAAATGCTCCATTGTTACGCCAAGAGTTTTGTGGAGGATTCTAACTTAGGGGTCTGGATATCAAAGTACCTTCCTCCACATCAAGCAGCTTTTGTGGAACAGTGCATCTCTCAGAGAAGACAAAGTCTTCTCTCCTCCTCACGTAACTGTGGAGTACTCCCCTTTGATTCTCGTTTCAGATATCTGTTTTTCCCCGACAACTACAAGTCCTCTTCGTTGTAAAAAGCTCTGTTTCGTTTGTAAAAAATGGCTTAACCGATTTCATAAGAAGCAAGAGAGCCAGAGGAAGATGTTTCATTATTGTTCCCAACTTAGCTTTTGGGGCTTATCAGTGTACAAACAGAATATGAGAAAAGAAAGCTATTTTTCTTTTGTTGTTGTGCTGCATGAACTTGTAAAAGAATCGTTAAGCTTCTTCTACAAACAAACATACTAAATGATTCTCATACCTCAGCTCTCTACTTCCACATAGGTTCTCTCCAACATTAATCACATCTAATCTAAAGGAACGAATATTACACAAATTAACAAAAGAGAATGCCCACAATAACAAACTAAAAATCGAAAAGCATAAACATGGATGCTTTGTCATTGAAACCCGCAGGTATGATCCAAATATAATCATGAGGATTTATTAGCATATAGCTTTGACAGAAAAAAATGCTAACATATACAAAACGAAGACATCAAAAGAGTGAACTACAGCAGCTAAGACCCAAGGCACCAGAGGCACAAACACCTTAACCACATAGAAGAGATAGATATAACATGTCTGTCTATGTTGATTGGTCAGGAGTGGAGATTGATGCGCCAGCCAGTGTGTTATCACTTGTAGCAGCAGTTCTCTTAACTACAATTTGTATTAGTACTTAAAAAAAATCGAGAAGCCAATGGATGCATACACTAACACATGTAAACCATAATTGTAGAAAGTATTGGAGTATGATTTCTAAAGGAATTAGGAAATCATACGGATAAGATTTAGCTAAGGATTTTATAGGTTTTCTTATTTAGCTTTGGTTTTATGTTTTCCTATTCTTGCAATACTTCTCTTGGTATAAATTATTATCAATAATAATCAAATTATTTTGATCTTAACTATAGTTTGTCATGGTATCAGAGCATAAACAAAACTAAAAACATATATATATATATATATAAATCGCAGTACAATACATGTGCAGTATGAATTTGATTAGTTTTGTGTGTTAGGTACATAAGAATCAATGGCAGTCTTGACAGTTTATTAATTATTTCAGCCACAAATTACCGGAAGTTGTCGGTAGTGGAGCGGTATGGTTGGATCAAGTTGTCTTCAAAGTCTCTGGTTCGAGTTCAGTGTTCAACACTCGCCACTGATCAATGATCCAGATTTCAAAACGGATCTAACGATCCAGATTTCAAAACGGATCAACGGTCCAGATTTCAAAACGGATCAACGGTCCAGATTTCAAAAACTCGAAAACATTTTAGAATTTTTTTTTTTAATCTAACCGATTGAAAATAAACTCAACGAAATGAATTTTTTTAATCTCTACCGATTGAAAACTCAAACTCAAAATCTTCAAACCCAAAGAAAAGTGGCCAATTTTTTTCTTTTGTTTCTAACTGTAAATTCCTAGGACCGGCTCTAATTAAAAGATATGATAAGGCTATTACAGTAATTTAGATTAACTTATAGACGAACTAGGACCGGCTCTAATTAAAGGATATGATAAGGCTATTATAGTAATTTAGATTAACGAACAAGACGCAGTTGCATTTAAAATAGTTAACGACGCCAATTTTCTCTCTTGAAATAAGATATTTCTTGTTGTAAGTTTCTAACACGTATGGTACAAAAAATATATTAAATTATGATTATCTAATCCATAATGGGTGAATAAATGTTTGCATCGGTGATTAATATGTATGATTTATACATATGATTAGACTTCTGATAGTGATCAATATTTCCAAGCATCGTGGCTTGGTATGCCAACGTCAGTCAATTGGCTCTCTGAGCTTCCTTCTCCATAGCTATATGATTCTTTAGTACTCTTAGTGAGCTGACTCAGCAAAGCTTTGAGAACCATCTGATCAGAGGAAGGATTAATAGACAACGGATTGGGATTCTTGGAGACCAAACCGATTTGGTTCTGTGACAAATTGGAGAAGCAGGGCACTTGCTGGTTGATTATGTGATTATGATCGAAGTTAATGTAAGAGTCCACTAATACAGAAGCTGGTTCATCAGAGCAGCTTCTCATGTTGTTGCCCTTGTCGACTTCATTGCTCTTCTTGTTGAAAACTCTACACAATACCCATTCTTCCTGTTTTTTCCCCAAATTGTTTTATTAAATTTAAATAAAAACAAATGTCAAAGTCATATGGTTGAGAGTAGATATTTCTGCCAAGTCAAAGATCATCATCTTAGGTAAGGTAAACCACGAATAAATATTTTGTTAAATCGTCAGCGATATCCCTTCAAACATAAAATACATTCAGGTTGAATATGAAATTATAAGGATAAAAGTCAAAACGTTTTCCATAATTCACGGGATAATATGATTGTGACATCCCCTAGAGACGCTTGATTCATGCTTAATTTGATATTTCTATTCAAGAAACATATACTACACTCAAAAATAATCTAAAAACTAACCCCAACAAAGGATATTAACGATTTCAAAACAAATGACACGAGTAAAATATAACAATTATTACCTTGGGAGAGTGATGAATAAAAGTTCCTTGGAGACGAAACTCGTGCATGACCCAATCAGTTTTACGACCTTTAGGGGCTCGACCTTTGTAAAACACAAGTGTCTTTCTCATGCCCACAAGACTACCATTTCTTTGGATTGCTCTATCTTTACCGGTTGCTTTCCAATAACCGGTGGCTGTTGCCCGGTTTGTTCTTTGCCCTGTTGCGTATTTCCGATCTTTTTGGCTGTAAAAGTACCATTCTTTACCTCCTACCCTCGCCGTTTCTGTACAAGTGCAAAGGACATTTTTATATATTTTAATCGATGTTTTTTTAGAATGTTGACGTTGAATACTCTCTTTCTTTTACATTTCACATACATTAATTGGGTTTCTTCTATATTTTATTTGATGGTTAAGATAAGACATGAGAAGAATTGAGAAGTCTTTATCTTTATGATGTATACATTTATACAATAATATCCAAATGATTCCCATCTATCCGCATCATATCTTAACTAACCAGGTTCCCAGTTACCAAGCACCGAATAGGCATTCAACACGTATGCAGGATTACGATCAATGACACAATATTAATATAATTAAAAATTCAGGTGTATGATTAGCCATTGATAATTATGCAGTGTAATAGTCTTTTCAAGAGAAAATAACAAGAAAAGTACTAATCTGCAAGTTGAACTTAGTTTGCTTTTGCTTCTTTGGTTTGTTGGTTTGTCGAAATATGATGCGGTTGAATAAAGTTACAGAGATTCTACAAAAGGTTTTTTTTCTGTTGAATAAATTTAACATTCATTCCAAAAAAAAAAATGGTGTTACCAAAAAAAAATCAAAATATGATGATCTTTTATTCGGGAAATGGAAGAAACAATTAACAAATTGTGTTGGCAACAAGAAATATGGATTATAAGTTATAACATGCTTAACTACGATCGAATGGTTAAACTATATATATGATTAATGAGTCGAGAGACTTTTGTGTCCAAACACATGTAAGCTTCGTATTAGACTTATTAGTTAGTCCTTAGGAAAACGAGAGATAGAACCAAAAATTAGTATTAAAACTTACGAGGAATGTCCCAAGGCTCGCACTTGTTGAGATCGACTTCGATCAACACAACTGGTTGATAGAGGCTGCGAACGTTTCTTTTCATTAAATAGTCGCAGACGAGCTCGTCGTCTCTCGGGTGGAATCTAAATCCAGGAGGCAGCTTAGCCTCAACCATACTTATACTGCCCTTATTCTCTTCTTTAACCTCCATTTCTATTAGTAACTAAGGGTTTGTTTAACTAATGTTTAATATCATCTGATGATAGATTGATAGGTTAATAAATTTGTATGATGAAGGGATGGAGATAGAGAAATGGAGAGGAATATCGTAGGTTTTAAGCACGAGTAGGAAAGAAGAACGGTAGTATAAAGAATTAAGAAACCATAAAGTCAACTTGTATATTTTTTCTCTATGTAAATTATGATCTATCATTTTTTCTACAACCACTACTAGCGGTGAAAAGAAATTACGAATGTCAAATGGTTTCATTTTTATTTTGTAAGAAAAAAAAATTATACGAAAATTCTCACTTTCTCTTTGTTTATCAAAAGATAGAAAACCACTTAAAAATATACAACTAATCAGACCGATAGCTGGAGGATGACTTTATGTTTTGTGCTGATTTTTTACTCTATTTACAAACTGACTTTAGCTATGTGAAATACTGTATATTAACAGAAGCAATCTAGTTAACAAATGAAAATTAAATCTTTACTTATTACTATCGGGTGTGATTGTGAATTTTAAATATCTGGATTGTTGAAGGTTTGAAAGAAACTTATTTGTGTTGTCACAAAACCTGTAAATATTGGTCTGAACAAGCAAAAAGTACAGAAGTAACTATACTCTGAACCATTTATTGTTTTGTGTTAAAAAAAAAACTTTTAAAAAAAAAAATAATAACTAAACTAAGAATTTGTACTATCTATTCGGAAAACCAAATCAAAAATAATGAATCGACATAATATATGATTATGGATGAAGAAGAACTCTTCACATCGTATTCAAGTTTGTCTTCCAGTGTTTTGTATGTTTGGTACATGTCTAATTAAGAAAGTCTTACTTCATCAAAAATCTCATATGTGTAGTAAAAGTTGACCATCATCAATTGTTAACACCATCTTTGGCAGTTAAAAAAAGTTCGTTATAAAAAGCTACATATACAAACTCCACAGTTTTCATACACTCTATAACTTAAATCAAAACTTTATATTCGACATGTAAAAGTGACAGACTTCTGCGGAAATTATATGGTTCTACAGAACCAGCCCTCGCATGTTCACTCATCATGCTCCCTCCATACACCAACATAACATATTCTAGTATAATCTAGAGGTTGTAAACGTACACCGATTGGATTGTCCGGGAATGAGTGACGAGTAACCAAAATTTGTGCCTTAGACCACAATATTCCTTTCTACTTTCAACTTTATGTTTTACGTTTTGATATTAAGGGTTGTCGTTAACGACTTAAGGCGAATCGATAAATATATGAAAAACAGAGTGGTAGTACCGGTAGTTTTCACTTATCTAAATTTTAATGCCATAGTTTTAAGATTAGGATATAGGCAGTATAAATATCTTTTTTTTTTATAAGCGTGAGGATCCTAAAAGTTTTCTAGAACCAGTGACTAATTTTACGAGGTCTATAAAAATCTGGGTTTTCTTGTTTTAGAACATAATTAACAAGTAACCTTAAGAGATTTTCTTAATGGTGCTTGTTAATTTTTCAAAAATCGATCACAAAACATATCAAATAAAGATCGATCTTGGAAGAGTTTTTGCACTGTCCGTGAGCCCCACCAACACGTGACGATCGGTAATTGGTTAACTTTAAAAAAAATAAAATTTAAGACACCCTTAACATTAATGATACTCTTAAAACATCCATGGGTGGCCAATGCATAACTAGAACCCGTGACAGAAACTCTAACTAGAATTCTTTTACCACTAGATCAAAATGACGTGATTAAATTAAGTATAAATATCTTTTTACTAATGATAAATTAGTATCTTTTGAAAACTACTGAATTACCAATAAAAATTATAAATTCAAACAATTTATTTTCAAACAATTTATTTTCCAAATACAATTATATTATTATAATATAGGCTATACTCTAAAAACGTACAAAATTACAAGTAAAAAAACTACTCTTTCTATTCTACTAGCATAATGTAATCTATATTTCCTAAAATAACCTTTTTAAAACAATAATTAAGTTTATTGAATTATAGTGGTTTTTCAAAAAATATGTGTGGAAACATTAGAAAATTTATCTTTACGCAACATAAGACCACCCGCAACAAGGGTCCTTAGGGAGAATCCTTAAGGAAATATTAATTTTATAATCAATGGGTCCCATGAACAGTTAAGGATTTTAAGAATAAAATCCTTATGTAATGATTGATTCGGATGGATCCTTACACTATTCATGGGCTCCACTGCCCACGTGTCGATCCACGATTGGTCAGATTTTTTTATTTTAAAGAAATAATCTGAAATATCCTTATATAATCTGAAATACCCTTTTTCTTTTTTCCTAAGGATTCTCTTTAAGGATTCCTTGTTGCGGATGCTCTAAGTAGTATTTAGTCAAAAAGAAGAGAAATTGACCCATTCAATTGGATTGGACGTAACATCGAATCTTTTCATCTTTGGAGAATGTGGGTTGTGACTTGTGAGGTACAAGTCGATTCATATGCTACATATTGTCATATTGTAGCTTACAATATTAATTACACAGATATCTGGTTCATAAGAACATTCAAAACCCGAGAATGAATTAGGATTAATATATTCAATTAACCATCGTAATCTGGTCTCATCTGGTAAAACATACAAGTGGGAAGTTAATTTATAAGGCTAATCTAGTTTTCTTGATAATCGCATATCTCTTCACAGAGTATTAAAGATTCTGACGGACGTGTGTACTACTGGTATTTGTTAGTGAACGTTGTTTATCTTTTGCGAGTATCTAACTTTCATCACTCAATTTGGGCCTTTTAAGCCCGACCCGACTATGACCTCTACCCGAAATGATTGTATCCAGTAAAAGAGAACACGTGTGTTCTGTCTATATGAGAATCTGAGCTGAGCTGTTATATATAACTTGTCTCTGTCATTGCCACTTCTCTACAACCCTAAAAACGCTCTCTTTCTCTCTCTCTCGGTATCGTCCGTAAATGGCATCGGTTTGCGTTAAAACCGTTGGTACTTCGCCGGAGAAGCTATCTCCGGCGAGTCACTCTCGCAAAAGCTCCAAAACATCAGTAACGACCCATGAATCTCAACCGTTGGATCCTCAGCTAGAAAACGAAGACTTCGAGTTCCTCCTCGAAGATCCCGTCACAATGCTAACCGCCGACGAGCTTTTCTCCGACGGAAAGCTAGTCCCACTCAAATTCTCCGCCGCGAGTAACCCGGAGGAGGAGAAGAAGCCTGTGATCCCGGCCGTTAACACGGCGGAGAAACCATCCCGGAGACTAGAGATGGAGATAGATCCTTACCTCTTCTCCCCGAGAGCTCCTCGCTGCACCGTGAGATGGCGTGAGCTTTTAGGACTCAAGAAACTCACCAAAACACCAGAAGAAGCTTCTCCCTCGTCCTCACGGTTGTCTTCTTCAACTCCAAATCCGAAAACAAGCTCGTTTAGGCAGTTTCTAAACCGAAGCTCCAAATCTACATCTCCTTCTCCTCCTCCTCCACCGTTGTTAGACATCTCTGAGTCTTCCACGTCGTTATCCTCCTCACGTCTCTCCCTCTCCTCTTCCTCCTCCTCAGGCCACGAGCTCGACGACGTTCCTAGACTCTCCTTAGATCTCGACAAACCCAATGCTCCGAACCCTTTTAGGTCACGTGCGCAACACCAACACTTACGCAACCAGAGGAAGCCACGGCGCCACGATGAAGCAACGGAGAGTAGTAACGACACGAGGGCCTTGACGGTGACGGCGGATAGTCCGAGACTCAACGCTTCGGGGAAGATCGTGTTTCATGGGCTCGAGAGAAGCTCGAGCAGTCCAGGTAACTTCACGGGAGGACCGAGGATGAAACAGCATCACGGTATGCCGAGATCTCAGTCTGCTCATGTCAGAATCACTCCTGTTCTTAACGTTCCTGTCTCTTCTCTCCGTGGTGGTGGGGCCAAGTCTGGTCTTTTATTCGGACAGCTTTTCTCTTCTTCGACTTCATCATCTTCTTCTTCAGCTAGAGCACAGTTACAGAGTAACAATAATACCAAGAACCGTACCAATCGAACCAGACTCGAACCGACTAGTGAAAACTAAGAAGCGAACCGGGTTTTTAATTGTACTTTGTACCGACTTTTATGCTTTGTTTTAGTTGGGGTTAATTTTTTTGCTTTTAGTTTAACTGGGGAGGTTTTATTAGATGAGATTAGATTCGGGGTCGGAATGTAAATAAAGAGAAATATTTGATTTTTCTATTGGTGGTTCTGCAAGGAGCGAGTTGTTCGAGACTGGGGAAGAAACAGAGTTATTAATTTACTGTAGCGAAGAGTGAGAAGTGCTTCCCATGTTCAGAGATTGATTCCAAAGATATTAACCACATGGTTAGGTGATATAAAAATGTTTTTGACTCATTATCTTACCATTCTATTTTATTATGAAAATAATTAAGATACTTGTATTTTACACTTTAAGGGAGCGACAGCATTTGTTTTTTTTTTTAAAATGCATGTTTAGGGACAGATCCAAAATGCAAATCCATTCCGTATCGGTTTAGTTCATATACTACACCCGTTTAGTTATTTTAATCAGTGTCAACTTTTAGTGTAATAATTAATGGTAACGAGTCATGTGTAGGTCCAGATCAAGAATTACCAGATATCATGGTGTAAGATCATGACAGATGGTTTTAAAATGTGATTGTAATCGACCTGAAGATATATATTCGTAAGGATGCTGATCGTCATGGTTATTCATATTTAGTTTAGAATAATTGAACTTGTTTATAAATAAACTGAGGGGTAAAGTAGGGAATAGTGAAAGCGTGAAGAAAGATGTCAGTCATATTATCTGCAATTTTCGAGTAACTTTTGTCTATATATAAGAAAGAAGAGAAAGCCTGGTTCCAATAAGTTTTGTCTATATAGAAATGCATCACAAAATAAAAATTGCTCGTCATTCTTGAATTCCCCACCTCAGTTTAGTGACAACAATACATATCATTGTTCCATATCAACATTTAGGGTTGATTAGCTAGTATTAGAGTAACTCAAAGTGTTAATCCAAGAAAAAAAGAGAGTAACTCGAAGTAATTAAATAAGATGAAAAACTTAAATAGTAAACAGATTAATAGAAAAAAGTTAAAACACATTGCACTTTTTTGACTCAGATCAAACCAAAAAGAAAAAAATAGACACCATACACTTCTTGAATAATTACCTGCAATTAGATAACTAAGGGGGTGTTATTCAATCAGTGATTTCAAATCAATGATTAATGTTTTATAATCGGTCAAATTTTAAAATTTTAAGAAAGTTTAAGTTGATGAATTTTGAAATCTCAGCAGTAGGCCTTAGATTTTGAATTCATTCATTTGTTCATAAAAATTCACAAGAAATGATTTGAAATCAATCCAAAATACAAAGAATTTTAAAATCATTAAAAGTTGAATAACACTAGATTTTAAATACTAGATTTAAATCATTCAATGAATAACACTAGATTTTAAATACTGGATTTAAATCATTCAATGAATAACACTAGATTTTAAAATAGAAATCAGAATCATCAATTGAATAACAGTGGATTGTGTTTAGATTTAAACTCTGTTAAAATACATCAATGAATAACACCACCTAAAGTATTTTATACTTGATTGGTTTAATAATATCTTAAAGTAAAAATAAATAGCTTTTCTTCCTAAATATATTGCTATTTGTGACGAACAGTGACAACCATAGTGACACTAACACGCATCAAAATAACAAAAATGAAGCTATATGCATGTTTTATTTATCATTGTTCCACACTTCCACCTACACAAAAAAAAAACATAACTCTAGCGAGTACAAAAAACATGCAATCTTATATGAACGTATTATATTTTCCACTAATTTAAATTACAAGCATGTTGTTTGATTTAGCGTATCAAATATACCATATATAAAAATAACACAAAATAGTCCCGAAAAAAACTGCACGGTCTTTTTGACTATCTTTTGAAACTATAGGGACCCATACACTTCTTGGTTATTATTTGTCTTTTGGCTGTCATATTCGACCAAAAATGATACGTACAACATAGCCAGTGTTAATCACTGATTACTACAAACAAAAAGTTCAACCATTTATTTCTACACCGTACTCACGAATTCAAATGGAGGTTCTCACTAGTCGCATTCTATGAACAATATGCAAAATACAAAAATAACTAGTTATGCTTTAAAGAGCTACAAAACATTGACATGAATTTATGCAATTTTATTATCCTAGCTTAATTGAAAAACATATATATATATATTCACAGTATAGTACACTTTCAAACTTTTTATAATACATGTTTGTATCAAGGGACAAATGTACAAAAATCAAATATAAAATACCATATCGTTTCGAAATAAGAAATAATAAATCCAAAAAGCAGTAACACGAATAATAAAATACTAAAAACAAAGTTGGGAAAATGAAGTAGAGAACGTGATGGTTCCCAGTCTTGCGCCCTCTGGGTAGATTCTCTATCACCAGATTGATTCTAATGATGCTTTTATTCAAATGTCTCTTTGCTCTTTTCTCGATATCTCTATTTATTGATACTCTCTGCATTATATATTGGGATAACTTGAGAGTCACGACAAATGGCCTAAGTAGAAAAGGCCGACAAGAAAGGAGGAATTAGTTAGGAATAAATACCGAGTTATGTATGTGACATTACTTAACATGTTATAGTTTTCACTTTTTCACAAAGAAACAAATACCAAAATCCAAAATCCAATCCAGTGTAAAGACCCTATAAACCTAGTTAGTGTACCTTCTTGTTGTATCTGTGAGATTTGACTATGCCATTGGAAAATGAATCTGTAACATGGTGGGATACACTAACCTTTTTTTCTTTTAGCTAAGAGACATTACCTAGTCTATGAACTAGGACGATGCACGTCCTTATCCTAATTTGGCAACCATTGTTAAAATGTTAATGGAGTGTGACAAAGATGCAATGTACTTATATCAAATGCAAGAAAATGATAATAATTTTCATTGCATTAAGTCAGGTTGGTGGTAGCTCTCTCTCATTGCATTAAATATTTGGAGTATATGTTTTAGTTTTGTTAAGAGCATGCATGAAAAATCTAGTACAGTATATCTTAATAATGGCATTTAGTGAAAGTGAATGGAACCAAGGGGACATATATATATTGGCTGGAGGAAAAAGAGAGGGCAGGTTGAGCTGGGTTCATAGCTGTGAACCAGATGCCACAAATTCAATAAGTATATTTTATCGTTTAATTAAATTGTACAGTGGGAAACAGCAAAAAATTGAAAGAGGGTGTGACAAAAATGTATAGGTGATTGCAATGGGAATGAGGATAGATATGAGTTTATTACTGTTAAAGTCAAATTTGGAATTATGTGTAAGAAGAAACAGTACTTTTTCTTTGTCTTCTTCTCATATCCTTCTCTGTACATCTTACGTACTCTCTTGTTCTTCTTCTTCTTCTCTCTTATTTATGATCTGGTATTCTGGTTATAGTTTCAAATCCTTATATGGGCCTTTAAAATGTTAGGCCCGTTTAAAAAATCAGGGCCTTAAAAATGTATGGCCAGTTTAAAAAATCAGGGCCTTATACCGTTTAATTGAAGGGAAAGCAGAAACCCTAGCTATATATATGTAGTGGAGCACTCGACGAGGAACAAGAGAGTGAAAAAAAAATCTGATTACGGCGATTTCACGATGAGGGCGAAGGTATGAAAACTTCATTTGTAACCTCTACTTTGATCTAGTTCTTCGTTTTATGCGAGCTCTATAGGTTGTTTCCTTGTTAGTATTCTGTGTGTTTACATTAGTTCGCGGTACATTAGCAGATGGATCTGCATTCTCATTTTAACTTTAATGGATGCTGCTTAGTATTGTTTGTTTTGAGATATACAATGATGAGTGAACTTGCTTATTTGATTTTGCATATGGTTTACAATATGATTTAACTCAGATGTGCTATCCATGCAAGTTTGTTAGTAGTTTAGATCGCCAAATTACGGTTATTGATTCTGTCTCTAGTTGTGTTGATTTTTAAAAAAACAAAGTGGTTGGAGTAATGACATAGTTGTGGTTTGTTCGTATTTTTGTTTTTTGCAGTGGAAGAAGAAGCGCATGAGGAGACTGAAGAGGAAGCGGAGAAAGATGAGACAGCGATCCAAGTAGTCTGTGTCTTCCATATTGCCTTATCCATAAATCTCTGTTGTTCCATTTCTAGTTTCTGTCTTGAACCCTTTAACGTTTTGTGTTTTTACATTTAAGAATCATGTGTAGAACATGTTTTGCTCACTCCCTTTTTATCATCTATAAATCAGAGGTTTATCATCTTATTTTTATTTTGGGATATCTTGTGCTTATTTAAAGGTTATGATTGCAAGTTTTGCTTCATACACTACATGCATAGAGGATTTGCCCCAATTATATAAGTTTAACGAGGGCTATCATCCAGTGGTGTACCATGTTTGTAACTCACTCGAATTGCCTCGTCCATGAGCTCCGATTGCTTTGCTTGAGCCTTGAGCTGTTCTTTTCCATGTTTACGGTTTAAGGGATCACAATAGGAGAAGCACTAAAGTGTGGTTTGTCCAGACTTAGGTGTTGGTTTACTTCTCCTTTGTTAAGACGTTGTTCACTAGTTGCAATGCCTGACTAATTTTATACTTTGTTTACACATTCGCACTAGTTTCGTCTCTGCTTAGCCTGAGACTGCGAGAGCGGATCCTGTCGCGAATAAACAAAAAAGAAATTCTCACCAACTTAAAGATTGATTGATTGTGTTCTTGATCTTGCCCACACATGCACATTTGGACAATTTGGATTGCATTTGTTGCTAATATCCTTAAGTCATTCAGAATAATCTTCAACGTATCAGTCACTGAAGTCCTAAATCTCAAAACTTCTCAATTTGAATACTGAAAAGAAAACCAAATGGGCCATTATGTAAAACAAATCATTCTTCAGGGGGCTTCAAATAGTTTTCGAAAATTAAAAAAAACAGAGTCGCATCCCATCCATAAAAAAGCTTTCATTTTAATCTCTCTCAATCGGACAAAATCAATTTCCCGACAGAGATTGGTTATAAAAAAAGGCTTCTTCACCTTTGACATATCTGGTCTCAACTTTTGTCCTTCCCCGGCGCTCTCCTCAAAATCAGGTGAAGCCTACTTGTCCTTTTGTCTGATCCCTCTTAGATTCGCCTCTTAACGCTTTCTCTCTTTACTCCTCCCTCTCGTGAAAGCTTCAATCTTTCCTCATCTCTAACCATCAAGATGATACCTTTAAGAAGCATCAATGATGGGTCAATAATCTCCTAATTAGCTTTTTAACAATCTTCTTCCAAGATTCCAATGGCAGGAAACGGTATCCCTACATTAGGTCGTGTCAAACTCTCTGATTTATTCCCCACAGAAGGTTTACCTTCAGATTCCTACAAGTTAGCTGTTTCAACATTATCTCAATCCTTAGCACAATACTCAGCAGCAATCATCCAATTCCCTCACACAGAAGCAGCCCTTCTCAGATCATGTCTCGACTCAGCTAAACTCTACTTCCACCAAAGAGACTCCTCATACCCCTCCACCAACGACATGATCCACACCTCAAGAGAATGGTGCAAAACTTCAGGATACTACTCTGATCCTCAGTCATGGCACGAGAGCTACGAGTATAGACCTGGTTTGACAGATTCATCATCAGCAGCTACTTCAATGGAGTTCCCTCCTTCTGGTTTACCTGACATCTTTTCTTTATTAGGGAAAGCTTCTCGTTTAGTTCTTGACGCGATTGGTTTTTATTTGAATCTCAGAAGCGGTGCTTTTACTGAGATTCTTGATAATGTGCCATTGAGGAGTAATGAGATATCTTCTTCAGTGTTGTCTGTTTGCTGCTACGCGAGATCTTCGTTTCATGGAGCGCATTTGACTGAAGACGAGCAGCTTCTCTTGTATGCAGATCATGATCACCAGCTTGACAAGAGTTTGATCTCGTTTGTGAAGTCAGATAAGGCCGGGTTGCATGTAAGAGACATGCATGGGCAATGGGTTTTGGTTGATGTTGATCTTGGTCCTCAAGAGGCGGTTGTGTTTCCAGGGCTGGCTCTTTACCAGGCTACGGCTGGCTATGTGAGTCCTGCAGTTTATAGAACTGATTTGAATAGTATGCAGGGGACTATTGAAGGGAGATTCTCTTTGGCGTTTAAACTCATGCCTAAGTCTATGACTAGTTTGAGTTGCTCGGAGATGAGAGCTGCGGGGCATGGTGTTGATGCTCAGTTTCAGATTCCGGTTTCGGTTGATGACTTTATGCAGAGAGCTCATTCGAATGATGAGCTCTTTAATAGGCAGACTTTGCAGAGCTTCAGTGTCCCTCCTCAATCCCAAGATGGTAAAGCAGTTTACTCTTTTGTCTTAATGCTTAGTTTGGTCTTTCAAAGCTGTTAATGAATGAAAAGGGTTCGATCCAATCTACTTGTCGTCAATTGATTTTAAGTTAGAAACTCGTGTTAAACTCGGATTTAACTTGGTATCAGAGTTTCTAGTTGCCTAGGCTTGAGCGTAAGTGGGATGTTAATGAGTGAAGTCTTGATGTTAGTTTGGTCTTCCATAACTGTAAATGAACGAAAAGGGTTAGGTCCAATCTACTTATCATCAATTAATTTGAAGTTAGAAACTCGTGATAAACTCGGATTTAACTTGGTATTACCTAAGCTTGAGCGTGAGTGGGAGTGTTAATGAGTGAAGTCTTGATGTTAGTTGGAGAAATAATTAACTAATATATAAAAGGTTAGGGCCAATACATGATAAGTCCGAATTTAACAATTTCAGATAGAAGAAGATCCTTGTTTGTTCTTTGTTAAATTTACACATTAATGAGAAGTATTGAATGACAGAAGGTTCTTCATTTGATGGATGGTATAGGATCTATGAAACAGATGAAAAAGAGGAAGAAGAGTGATTCAAGAATTAAACCACTACCACCATCAAAGCGGCTGAGGTTAGAAGCGCAGAGAGTTCTCAAGGAACGAGTTCAGGAGATTGCAGATAAGAAAGGAATCAAACTCAGATTCTGCAACCCAAAGGATTGTGAGAGTAACCACAATACAATGAACAGTCCTTGCGCGCATATAAAAATGGAGATAGGGTGGCCTCAGGGAGTTCCATTTGTTCACCCTCACGACCTCCCAAACAAAGCTAAAATCGGGTTCCTTGAGACGTATGAGCCAGGATGGTCTGAAACACATGACATGGAGCTTAGTCTCTCTGAAGCCACTCAAGGAAACCACCAACACGTGACTTAACTGTAACAACTCATTTCTCTTTTACTGTAACTTGTATTTTCCGAGGTTATACCAGTTCGTTGGTTTTATTACAGGAGATGAGAGAGTTCCAGTCTTGGTCTCTTGTTTGCCTGGACTCTTCCGGTTATACAGAGTCAGTGATTGCACATGATGTGCGAGCTATGGAACATCAGAGAGGAGATAAAGCTGTGTGAAGGGCTCTTATTATTTGTCTCATTGTACATTGTGTCTTTATATGATATATATCAGTGTAGCATGTTCTGTGTTACTCTCTGTCTATATGCACAAGAACATCTTCATATAGCAGCTTCCAATGGTTGGGATAAATAAGATTTGAATTCTTTTCATTTGAACATCGACTAAAAATATTCTATCTAATGGTCTATAAAATACAGTACAGGAGTTTCGTTGCCGTGAAATTACACAGCTGAAGTACATAGGCACCATGAAGAGCCAGCCTTAAAGAAGAAATGGTCTCACTCTAATCTATAAAGAAACTACAAACATGTCCAAGTCTCCCTAGTGTTGTTGAACCATCTTAGCCAGCAAAATCAATCAGCCCCTTAAGCAGAGAGCTGTGTAAAAGCATTAGAACAATACCACTGGGAAACTACTTGTCTTTTCTCTTTGTTTCTGGAGCAGATAGTGTCCTCATCAACTTCGAGGTGGTGCCTGATCTTCAAAGGGAAGAGGAACTGACATCGCATTTCCGTAAAAATCTTCCAAGTTATAGAAGGTTCTTTGTGGAGGTAAGAAAATATGGATCACCACATCACCTGAAACCATACAATCAAACAAACATAAACTGTCATTTTCTTATCCAAACCCAATCGATGATGACAGGAAAGAAAGAAAGAAACTCACCAAAGTCTAGCAATGTCCATGCATTTGGCTTTACATCTCCATTAGCAACTCTCCCATACTTCTTCTCAGCCAGGTCTCTCATCCTAGACCTGCATCATAATGAGAAAGTCTGCTTAGCGATGGTTTTACAAGTGGAATAGAGATTATCAATGATAGATATCTACCCAATTGCATCGATTTGAGGACGGGAAAAGGCAGTGGTAATGATGAAAAAACGAGTCCAGTAAACGAGAGGCTTCACAAAGAGAACCTTAATGTCTCCAGCTTTCACTTCACTAGCAACTTTAGCCATTTCAACAGCAACTACAAGAGTGCATAACAACAACAACACATGATTCTCCATTGAGTATACTAAGCCAATAAGTAGAAACATATTCTTTAGGCTTACATGCTAAACTTTCAGCATCATCATCAACCTCAGCTGATGGAGACTTAACATCGTCGCTCTTATAAACAACCTTCCCATATTTGTTGAACAAGTCGTCGAACATCTCATCACTATCTTCACTTACATCCTAACACAATGAAGTCTTATTACCATCAAACTCAAACCAACTCAGAAATCATCAATTGGGTAACTTGTAACAATTCCAACGATGTTAAAAAGGTTAAAACTTCGTAACAACAACAATAAAGTTGTAATCTTTCAATAAGTTTACATGTAACAATGAAAAAAAAAAAACATAAGCAGAGTTACTTCCTTACAAGAAAACACAAGTAGGAACGAAACTGAGAGAACAGAGAAGCGGTTTTAAAGAGTTTGAACGTTACCGAGAGGAAGCTATCTTCAGCTTCTTTTCCCACAGCGAATCTCTTTGAGTTACTGAGAGTTGTCAGAACTTTGCCTCTGGATAGTCGCAAAGAGCGATTATATGGTGTCGATAAGTCTCCGTTGTTAAGGCATAACAGTGAAGAAGAAAGCTTTCTGGGTATTTGAGAAGACGAACATGGTAAGGGAGAACCTACGGCAAGCAGAGCTCCGGTGGAAGATGCCATTGTATCTCTCGGTCGTTAAGCAGACAGTTTCGAAAACACTGGTCGCCGTTAAGAAGCGGATAAGATATTTTGTCCTTTTAACCCTATATCCTGCTTCTTCTTCTTTTTTTTTTGGGTCCTTGTTTACCTTTTTTTTACCAGACTGTAATTTTCTAAAGATCCATTTCATTTGGATAAATTTTACACAAATATGGATAAAATAAAAATAATTGTGTTCTAAAATATCAAACGATATTAGTTTTACTAACAAAAATTAGGTCAATATATACTAAAACCAAATTTTGAAAATTCAAAAATAAAAATTGAATTTTATACTAATTAATGTATGTTTTTGCATAGCTAGTGTTTATGTACTAACTGGAATAGTTAATCCGCAATTCTGTCCCTATTGTTATAAACATACAATTCATGGGGAAATCAAGAAATAGTGTTAAAATACAAATGGACTCATTTCATTTGGATAAATCCTACACAAGTACGATAAAATAAAAATAATAGTATTTTGATAGGTTAAACGACATTCAGATATTTTTAGTTGGTAAATTAAGATTAAGCAAACAGTTTTTTTGAATGTTTTGTTTTAAAATTGGTTTAAATATTTAGAAATTGGTTTAACTATTCAAAAAACCGGTCTAAATATTTGCTAATTAAACTTAACATTTTTTAAAGATTTAAGCCAAAACAAAAAAAATAAAACAATTTCTTGAAGATTGGTAAATATAATAATTCGTGTGAATTTTTCTGTGGAGTAAAAAATCTTAAAATCTTAAAATACTAAAATTAATACGAATACTACACTTACAAAGACAAAAAAAAAAAAAAAAAACAAATATGAATGTTGTTAATGTAAGGGAAATATGTCCCTATAACCATAAACAAAAACACAAATACACTAAATAGCTAAAATTACATTCTCTCTCCCCTTTTTTCTTCCTATCTCTCTCTACTCTATCTCCTAAAAATCTAATTTTCTTTTTTTTCCTAGCTATTTGGCAAATAAACCCTTAATGTAAACCTTTCTCAAAAAAAAAAAAAAAGTTGTTTGTAAATTTGTGAAGTCTATAAAAGGCCTGTTGAGGTTTTATCTCAATAGATACAGATTTCGTGCCATGGGCTTATTCACAGCATAGAGTCTAATTGGGCCTTAGTTCAAACGAGTCTAATTCAAAAAAAACTCAGGCTAATGAACATGCAGTCGAAAACTTCTAAATTCCATAAGCCCAAATGTTCTCTATAATTGTCACTTTGTTTATATCTTTTCTTTTTGCAAAACCATCTTAGTTTCATTGGTTAGATTACTGGCTAGCTTGTTGACAAATGGAATCAATGAGATACAAAACTATCGAAAAGATAAGACTTGGAAATGGGAGATGGACCACTAGGGTTCCCAAATTGGCATAGATGATTAATCATCATATACATTAAAAAATGTCGCATTCTACGATGCGTACATAACGAAGAGTGCCAAAAAAACTCCAATGTCAGTCTCACGTAGGTCATATATATCCCACGGAATCAAATCGATGTAATTTATGACTAGGCTAGGCAGACACACACATGTCTCTGCCTGCATATATCAATAAATCTATGCATTTTATATGGAGCAAACAAGTTTCGTTGGGGAAGTGTGATGAAATAGACAAGTTCATGTAATTATAGAGGAAGAAAAGAAGAGAGGGACACATCTAAATAATACAAATGCACATCTACCTTCCTGTCAACATTTTTATTTTTATTTTTTGGTTGTACTATTCATATAATTTATGTGCATTACATTTCTGACAATTTAGTTTCGTCGTATCACATCTACTGTACTACAAAACAATTAGATTTTTTCAAAGATGTTTGACATGAATCCATGGAGAAATGTGGTGCAATGGAATACAAAGCCAAGAGCCATTCATTTTTCTGCCGACCTCTACACATTTTCATGCACTCTCATAAAGTTGACAGTGAATTCACGTCTCCTCCTCGTCTCACATTTTCTAGATTGATTTTGAAAATAAATTGTATCTAAATTCTATGCATTTAGAAAAGAGAGACCTATTAATTCACTCGTTTCTGTTTTTAATGTGTAGTGGGTTTGGACGGTGAGGTGATGATTCCCCAATCTTTACCCAAAGGTATTATTATTTCATCAACTATATGTTAATCAATCTTGGCAGCTAATTAGCATGTTGGTTAAATAATTTAAAATATGACATGCTTAGTCAAATTTGAGCGATAGACATGGGATAAAATGTTTTATAATCTAACATGGGAAAGTGAGATTAGTTGTGGCATCTGTTCCAAAATGAAACATTAACGTGCGGATGGGTCATAAGGGATTAGGTGAAAGCGTGATTGATGATAATTGAGGGATTTTTTTTTATTATATGTGAGACCTCGATAATTACGGCCCCGTCTCGATCTACAAATTGCCTTGGATCCACGTAACGTGTGTTAAAGACTTGAAAAACTCATTGATATCTTTGCTGTTCTACTCAATTATCACTTTATCAGATAGATTAGGTAGGTCCACATGGGTGCATAAATCGAGTGTAACGCTCCAAAATCAAATCGTGGAATATATAATTGTGCAAGGAGTGGAAATGAAGGCTCTAGGTGTGTTTCCTATGGAAGTAAGATGTTGGTATTGGGATCGATTCACCTATATTTCCACATACCTCCCCCACGAAGAAACCCTAGTATCCGCTTTTAATTCTTATAACAATTATTTTTGAACCAAAACAATTATCAAATATGCTAGGTGGTGGTGGTTGCATGCCAAATTAATTTGAGGTATGATTTACGCTACAAAACAACGATGGATTAAACTACATTTGTGGAAGTATATGGAAACCTATAATTATCATTGCGAAATGAATCCCTTTCCATACTGTTAAAAATACAAAGAAAACATACGGAATTATTTTTGTTGAGTAGTAGAAAAAGTGGAAACACATAATTGAAGTTTATGGACTATAATGTCAATATTGCTCCACTTTTTGTAGTGCATGTGATGGCATCTCGAGCCGTATCCAATTCCTTGCTCAACAAACTTTTCCGATGTATCGCTTTCACGTTCTTTGTGTATATCGATATCTATATTTGAAATATATATGGGATGTGCATACTTTTCTTTTATATGTTTATATATATACTACACATAGCTGAAGTTTGTGGACTATACGGGATGTTTATATATATAATCGTAGTGCATTATATTTCTTGTATATGTTTATATATATGTATACCTATGGGTATGGGATATATGACGAGGTCTATCAAGAATATATGGTAGAGTACCTTACGAACACTACAAAATATATAATGCATGTAGGGATGATGAAAGCGAGATTCTTTCAAGAAAGGAATAATAAAGTTTAACGTATAGAATATTAGATGGGGGGGTTTATGTGTTTGTGTGACATTGAGATTCTCATTATAGTTAGCGGTTGAGATAATGTGTGGAAACTAATTGATCAACTCAACAAAAGAAAAGAAAAGAGAAAGAAGTACTTTTATCATGTCTTTGCCCTGGAAAGCAGGCAAGCCAGAACAACTGACCTGCATTTATGTTCTTATATTTACGTTTATTTTCTTGCGAACATAAATTAATTTTAGTACTACCATTCAACATTTATTTAATGATTTTCTCACTGTAAACCTCCTGGCAAAGTAACTGAATCATACGTTGAAATATGGCAGAAGTACATTTGTATATCTTATAAGAAATTATGGTTACTCTAGAAAGTATATATTTATATATTTTGGAAGATAGAAAATAAAGCTTGAATCAATGTACTTTCGTTCCCCTTAATAATAATTTGGTTAGGGTTTTAAAAATAAAAAAATAAAAACTTCAAAACTAAAAACTGAGATGATGAGCATATTGATACCATGTCATTTATAAATTAAAATAGTTCCGACGTAAGACTCATTCAAATTATCTTCTCATATTATCTAAAGCTTATGCAAGTTTTATAGTTTAGTCCTATTGGAATGTGACTCTTTAACAAGCAATATATTTTAGAACGAGCCTCTACTTTTGTTTAGGCGACCTATAACTTTTTCTTATTTTTTAATATTTGTGTTGTCAGCCAATTAAAAATTAAGTAATGGTTGTACGATGTCAGGTCGACCCAAATGCCTGATACGACGAAATAAATGATAATATAATGGTAGAGATACTTGAACAAAAAAATAATGGTAGAGATAATGTTCTGAAAAGCAGACGAGGCAGCAGGCATGCCCATCTTAATGCGTTTGCTTACTAGCCTCGTGATTCTATGCCTCTCTTCATGCTCTACCATTCCCAAGATAACTTAGTTTATCAGCTGGTGGCTTATAGAAATGTGCAATCAAATGTAATTTAATCATAAACTGTAATACTTAACTCTATATTAGTTTATTTCTTTAGTGATTACATCTGGTCACCAAGAAAGGTGTCCACCCGCACTAACAAAGAAAAAAAGGAATAGATTCGTATATATGAAAAAATTATGGAAAAGATGAACTCATTGAAAGTTATTAAATTCATATGTGAAGTACACCTTGTGAGCATCTACTCTAGATTGTCTATTTGATCATAGATGTGGAACGCAATGATTCATCCCATAATCTTATTTGAGTTTTGAATAGGTTGATTTCACAGAGCAAACTAAACACAATGCTAATAAGAGAATCCAAAATTTAACAACTAACTAATAAAAGGGATGCTGGTCTAGTTAAACAACTAAACCGTCCATATGAAAACTATATAGTTAATAAAAATCATATAAGCGCTGACTTGCGAATGCAAGATTTGCTATTATATAACAAAATGTATATTACGTAAAATTAGTATTTTGTTTTGTTGGTCAACACGAATTGAGTACTAATGTATCATTTTAAAGTAAACTTAACTACTTTCGTCTTAGCTAATCAATTATGTTTAGACTTTAGACGACGAATAAACTCAGAATATATCAGCAACCAACCAATATAAAAAAGAAGTCATATGTTGGCAGAAAAAATGAAGCCAAATAACTTAGAGAAACCAAATATCTTTTTAAGAGGTACACCCATTTAATTCTCCACCTAGAGGAGGTGTACAACGCAGAGAACAACTCATTGATGCAAAGACATTCATAAAACAATTTTTGAACATAAAAATGCTGACAAAAGAAGTTTTAAACTTAAATATTAACGTCAGCAATCAGAAGAAGACAAATTACGAAGGGTGGTGAGTACACGCCAAACAATAATATAGACTAATTAGTCTTCCTATTAATGACACTAGCCGTAGTATCGAAGAGAGGTTTGTGACACCAGGCGCGACTTTAGGTTAACAGACGTGGCAACGAGAACCATGAAAGTAACAGACAAAGCATAATTAAATATCAAAAGAAAACGAAAACAAAATTATTTTTTAGGTCAAAAGAAAACAAAATTATAAAAAGAGGTAGAGAAGCAGCGGTGGGTACACTGTACCTTTCTCAACGGCTGCATTATATTTTCTTCTATACATTTTTCTTTATACTATAAAGTTCTCTCGTTACACTAAAATTAAAATAAATTGCGTAATGCCAAGCTGGCACTTCACACGTGCCCATGTGACCCTCGTATCCAGGCAACACCATCACACGTGGACCAAATGTCCTACACCTTAAGATTTTGTCTTCATCGACACGTGGCATGTCAGTGACCGTCTGTTATCTAGTCCGCTGCCTCATTTACGGATTCGCCCCGTTGGAATCTAACGGGCTTGTCCAAACAGATAAGGCAAGGCACTCCTCATTTATTGTATTTTCCGTTAAATGACAAACAATTTTAATTGATTCAGAAATTTCTGAGCCGTAGAGTTTCAAACGCCCATGCAAAGAAATTACTTCGGAAATAGTTATAATAAAGTAAAATAGGAAGTTAAAAGTAAAAAACTAAAGAAAGTAAAAGAGGCAGATATAGGTATTATGATTTGACCGTAAAATTTAACATCTGTCGTAGTCAAAGCTTTTTTTTTGTCATTAAAAGGCAACTACTTTAATGGTCACTGGTCAGCCGGATAACCGAAGAATCCTCATGATTAATGTTCTTTTTTTACTTTAATTATTAAAAAATACTTTCTAGAAAACAACAAAATAAAGTAAATGCTGATTAAAAAAATAAGAAAAATAAATAAATAGAAAACACATCACATCTTCCTCTCTGTTCTCTATAAATTGGCAGACAAGAGTGGCGTTATGTTCTGCTTTGATATTTGTTTTCTAGTTTTCCCTCTCTGCGAAACCGTAATTTAAAACCCCATAACCTCTCCATCTTTCATTTGCATTCACGTTTCTAGAGGCTCCCTTCTATATCGCCCATTTAATAGCTTTGAACCAGTTTCTCTAGTAACAAAAACGTTCCATGGCCGTTGATGCTCACCATTTAAACCCTATGTTTTCATCTAACATGTAATTATATCGTTTCCTTTCTCTCCTTTGTTCTTTGCTTTCTTGTTATTCAATGATCTTAACGTTGTGAGTGATTTTTTGTTTACAGAGAAATGATACACCCCGTTGAAGCAAACGGTTTAGTCTATAACAACCAGATCAGATATAACACTGTTCCAGCCACGACCATGCCCTTTAACCCCATCATTGAATGTCAAACTTCTCTGTTGAATCCAGTTTACAACGTCTCACCGTTTGATTCTCTGGCTCAACAGTCCATGAAACCTTCGGTTGATAGTTCCTTGACGTTTAACAGCGAGAATAATGGTTATAGTAACGTCGATTTTATCCGTCCTGTTTCGTCTTCGTCTATGAGAAAACGCCCTAGAGAAGAATCAGTTGTTGTTAACCCTATGCGTAGCCAGAAACGTTGCACTGATCCTCTCATGTTTCTCGGACAAGACTTGTCTTCTAACGTCCAACATCACAACTTCGACATCGACCGTGTGATATCTCATCACGTAAGTGTTTTTCTCATTACATTTTTCAAAAAAAAAAATAGATATTATATATTATTTTTTGGTTCATATCGATTGATAGTTTTCGACAATATTTTATCAGGTTGAGATAATGAGAATGGAGATTGAAGAAAAGAGAAAAACGCAAAGTAGGAAGATAATGGAAGCCATCCAACAAGGGTTGATGAAGTCACTGAGAGCCAAAGACGAAGAGATCAATCACATAGGGAAACTAAACCTAATTCTAGAGGAAAAAGTTAAGTCTCTCAGCGTAGAGAATCAGATATGGCGTGACATGGCACAGACTAATGAAGCCACCGTGAACTCCCTACGTTCAAACTTGCAACAAGTCCTTGCTGCCGTGGAACGTAACAAGTGGGAGGAGCCCACAGTAGCTGATGACGCACAATCTTGTTGTGGAAGCAACGACGAGGGTGATAGTGACGAGCGATGGAGGTTAGCGGGAGAAGTTAAAAGCGTGCGAACGATAACAAAGACCATGTGTAGAGGGTGTGGAAAAGGAGAAGCAAGTGTGTTATTGTTACCATGCAGACACATGTGTCTATGCACTGTGTGTGGATCTTCGCTTAACACTTGTCCTGTTTGTAAATCACCAAAGAACGCTAGTCTACATGTTAATCTTTCCTCGTGAAATCTAACAATACAAGTAAATTGTAAATGTACTTAAAATAGTAAATAGTTGAAACAGTACTCGGTTTAAAAAACTATTCATTCTTTAATTTGTTTTCTTTAATATTTGACATGTCAGATCTTTAATTTAGATGAGGTTCACGAGGGTCCTCTGTTGCTTAAAATCGTGGGTTAGGTTTATACCCACTTTCCAATGTCCTTTATTTGTGTGAAAATATGCACCAAAAAGGGGAAAGTTTTGTGGTTTCAACTACTAGTCTTTGTCAATGAATTAACGTCACTCCTCACGAGATGGGGTTTCACTAGCTTATACTTTTGTTGATACGTTATTATCTTTTGTGTTTTTCTAGAAATTATATATTCGATACAAAAGGAAAAAAGGAAAGTAAGTGGTCGAAGTCGTGGGTTTATGCGTGACAGACCATTAAACCTAAAGCAAAACTGAAAAAGCCATTTCAACTTTTCCTCTATACCCGACGAGAGAGAACTGATGCCTAAAAGACGTAAGGAGTGGGTCAGTGCAAGTTAGCTAGTAGCAGATTTTATGAGCAAGTTAGATAGATACGGAGATTTTTGACTAGCCGTTAGGAAATTGCATTGAAATGGCGCATGGGACAATAACAGTGGCGGTAAATAGCAAAGACTGACGTAGAGGACGCGCGCAAATGTCGCTGTGACAAAGAGTGGGTCCAAAATGTTCGTAGTTTTCGAGATTACTATTATCCTTTTTTATTCACTATTTCTCGAGAGTAAAAAATAAAAGAGAATATGAGAATCGTAAAATCGTAAAAGGTGAGAGAGAGAGTTCACCATAATCCACAATCTCGTCGTGCGGTTATGTCTGTTCCTCTTCTTACGGCGTTAATACCTCCCAAAACGGGCTCTGTTACCAAATTATTTTAAAGCATGCGATATTCCATCATGTTAGTGATTAAAGCATACTCTTTTGGTGCAATTAAAGCATACTTTCTTGGACCAAAATATTCGAAATACTCGATTCAAGGAAAGCAAGACGTATATATTTTAATCTTTTGGACGTTTAGATTATTCGTACGGTGGTGAAAAAGAAAACTGGAATATTGATAAGATATGGTTAAAAAAAGGTTTGTATTTGAACCTAGATAAACTTATTTAAAAAGCACTTGAACTGATAGATTGACTCAGGGAGGAGCTAGAGAATCGATACGCGTTAAGAACACGCATGTGTTGACCCTTTCATATCAAGAAACGCATTATAATTATACTATAGTATATTTGACTGCCTCCATTCCACCCAACACAAGCACCAGTTCACCACATCCCCTTCGTATCTAAATACTTTGTTTTAAAAAAAAAAATTGTTTTGGTTAGACAAAAATATTGCAATGTCAATATGTTTGGTTAAGTCATTCAGTGCTGCATTTATATGCTATCATCCAATCAACCATGGCACCATTAAGTAACCGCGGAGTATAGATTATGAAGTTTGCTGGGGATAAATATTTAACTTTTATTTAATGTAAGTTAGTAAGCTAATACGCACGTATTATATAGGATGGAAAAGTTAGAGCGAGGTTTCGAAGAACCAGGGACCGTTTCTGAAGCATGTGAAAATGTAGTTGGTTCACGTTCTCTTATAACGCCAACTTTTACAATAGATTATTAAGTTTTGTCTTCTTACATCTTTTTGAATGCAGAGTTCTTAATATATCAATACTTTCAAAAAATAATATTTATATCAAGAAAGCGAATTGTACTGCTGATTAGAAAATAAAAACACTGTCATTGATTATGTCATAAAATTTGATTTGAGCACGACTCTAATAAAATTTAATATCAGATAGTATTTCCAAGGTTATGTCTCTAATTAGTGAATATGAAATTAATTGTTTTTTTTCCATCTGTTTCATATTAATTATCATTTTAACTTTGTGCATATGGATAAAAAACAATTAATTTCATATACTTTTATTTTAAAATATAACTATTTATACAACTAACCATATTTCAACTAATAAATATAAATTATAATATAAAATTAATAACCTTTTTATTTAAAGTTAAAAATAATATTTATTTTGTAATAATTTATTTTTTACAACAATATTTAATATAAAACAGATAGAATATGTTCTAACATTAGTTAGCGTTACATTTAAATTTCAAATAAAACTGTAAATTCTGCGATTTGTACTGCTGATTAGAATCTAGTTGAAAATTGAAGGGAGGACAAATGGTGAAGGACACTGTCGGTAGAAAAAGAAGCTATTTAATTTAGGGAACAAATCTTAAAAGTGGAGTCCACAGAGAAAAGGACAGAAAAGCCAAACTCGGCATTTAAAACTCTTTATAACATTACAGAAAAACACATCCATATCGCACCGTTGGGCCCACGTCTTCTTTACCTATATTTTGATTATTTCAATTAAAACAGGTTTTGGGCCATTTCTGGGCCCACTTTGGTGACCGTTTCTTCTTTATTTGCCCTTCTTCAACACGTGAAGTTGATTCCACACTTGGAACTTTCCTCGACTTCCATTTTTTTTTCCTCAACTTCCATTTTAAATATCAAACAAAACCCTCCATCTTACACGTTACTGTATTTTAATAGATTTATTAATCCAATATTTATGAATATAATACGGTTCAAATAACGTATGCCTGCAGGTGACTTGCTGATGTGTGTTAGCATTTCACGCAAAAATTATCATATAGATAAATTATTTATTAGATGTGTTTGGAACCGTCTTTCACCACTTTTAGTATTTTTATTAGCAGATGTGGGAATTAACATAGTGGTGATATCGACATGAAAGAGCTTAACCTTATATGCCGTCTGTTTGTGTGAGCCACCTGCACCATATGATATAGTCACTCTGAACAATATTTTGTCTCTCTTCCTTTCTGAAATGGCTTTCGGATAATGAGATAAGTCAATACAATACAATAAGTCTGGTGACACATTACACACTCCAAACAATATAGCAAATACTATTAAAAGAAAATTAGCTAGATTTTTGAGTGGGGCACAAAGTAAAATCATTCATTATTGGAATTTCTCATTCTTTTAGCGTCTTCTGTTGTTTGTCAATGGAAATGATCAAAGTCATCTTTAACTTTCAATGTACTCAGTAGTTAGATGGAATGAATATAGTTCACCTTTTAACATATAAGGAATAATATATTTCACAACTTGGTTTTAAAAGAAGAAGAAAATTTCCATGGCGAAGACGGCATTAGAAAAGTTATACGAATTAATGTCATCATCATTTAAGAAACTGATTGATTTGTGGGTCGGTTTTTATTTGTTTTGTAGCCTAACCTCTAACAATCAGCGTCCCTACTTCATTAGTTTATATAAAATATGAATATATATATCAAAGAAATCAAATATGCTTTTAGACAAAAAATTTGGATGAGACCTCACATTCATAAATGGTGTACCATGTCCACCATGGACCAACGATGATACCGATGGCTTTATTTCTTTATCTTTTCTTCATTTTTCACAACTCTTTAGCAAATATTCTACCTTTCATACCAAGGTGGAACCCAACTTTCGGTTTCTATCAAAGTCTTCCATAGTCTCTCTGACAGTGAAGAAAATAGTTTATTGTGATTAAGATGTTGTCTCAGTTGAAATCTGTGATATTAATCATGTTGGGTTTATCAGAAATAACTTTATTTTACATAGGTCGTCCAAGAGATATTAATCAAATTTAGAAAGAAGAAACATCTTGTAAGACTTTAAAATGTGTAACAAAAGTATAGGTTTAGTGAAACAATATTATGAGCGGTGATTATAGATATCTAAAAGGGCGCATAATCCTCATTTGTAAACTCTATATCGTTCTCAATTTTGTGGTGTGGGAGTTTATTTGATATATAATATGAAAGTGGTACTTTGCTAAAGCCACATGATAGGTAATTCTTAATAGTCCTCTTCGTCAGGTCTTGGATCTATCAAATAATAGCAATCCCATCATAAACATTGTAATATACTCCTGTGTGTGCATTTGATTGGACAACATAAAGATGAAGTTAGAAAAGAGATGTGAGAATATTTCAAAGGGTTTAAAGTTAAAAGGAGTAACCTATACCACGATCGCCCACTTGGCCTAATCATCTTTTTTTGTTCCAATTAATTATGGGAAAATTAAATTAGTGCCTATGCAAATATCGTCCTCTCACCCACTAAATGGTACAAAATATCAAAACACCATGTGGTTTTAGATGAGAAATATAATAAGAAGTTTATGTTTCTATACTCGACACAAAAAACAATATATGGTTAAGACATGACATTGATATATTTGATAGGAACAAGACATGAACATTTACGGGTAGAGACTGTACTTTCGTATGGATGAAAAAGGTGATGAAATAGTTAGGTTATTGTCCACATTAGGAACCAACCACTCAAAAGAAATTTAAAATATTAATATCATGCATAGTTCTTTGGTGGGGGCAAACAATAAATATCAACATCGATATATATATAACAAAAAATGAGCTTATAATTCAAACAATTATTGTAACCTTGCTTTGTAAGTTTGTAACCATGCAAAATTTTAAAACAAGAGTAAAGCAATGCAATGATAGTATGAAGAAAGAATAAATTCACAAGATAAAGAATATGATAAAGCTACAAAAAGTGAAGGAAACAACAAGATGTGCGTAGGCTACTTTGTCAAAGGGAGAAAAATAGTAAAAGACAGACTTGAGGTCGAAGATGGGCACACTTGATTAGAAGATAGCAAGAAATCATAGATATCCTACACACATGGAATATTCTTCCATTTGTTTATTAAAACAAACACCACGAAGATCACTATTGATTAGGATGATTTAAGATCCCAATTAAGAGTTTCGTTTTAAATTTTCTTTTTGCTAAAGTTACCTGATAATGATGATGATTAATAGTGGTGCAAATAAGGAGGTTGAATGATGTGAAGTGATGGATGAACGGTGTCCTTGGTGTCCAGCAGGCCAAGACAACAACACAACACGATTAATTAAATGAATCAAGAAAGCAATATATGGACCCCATCCACCACAAAAATGGACCATAAAACTGAGTCCCTACGAAATCAAGATGCCTAAGTTGGATGATTGTGACACACTTTATTTCATCTTTAGGATCCAATATGACATAGATATTGTTCACCATT